TTTTTATCGCTATTGTAGCCTTCTTCATCCTATCCTTTATATGATTCTCCGCTCCCCCATTCTTCTGTAGAATATATCCCAGATACTTTATTTCTTTAACCTCCTCTATGTTTTCTCCTCCCCATTTCCATTCCCTTTTCTTCCTTCTCCCCCTAGCTTTCTCGAACACCATTATCTTTGATTTCTCTGGACTGAAACTCAAACCCTTCCCTTCCAAATACCTCTTGAGCCTCCTCATCATTTCCTTCAATTCTTCCTCTCTCGTCGCCATTAACACTATATCATCTGCGTATGATATTGTCCAGAATTTTTCTTTCCCTATCACCAGGCCTCCTGCTTGTCCTTTTTCCATTCCTTCCTCTAAATCCATGATGTATAAGTTGAATAGGTTCGGGCTCAACGGGCATCCTTGTCTTAGTCCCTTTCCTGTCCAAAATTCTTCTGTCTTTTTATCTCTTATCTTCACTACATTTTTTGTTTCTTTGTATGTCTCCATTATTCTTCGTCTCAAATTATCTTCAATTCCTATCTTCCTCATAATTTTATTCAATTTCCTTCTATCTACTTTATCGAAAGCTGCCTTAAGATCAGCAAAGAATGCAAAAACTTTTCCACTTTTCTTACTCAGCTCCATATTCGCTACATAGTTTACTGTGTATACTGCATCCATCGTTCCTCTATTCCTTTTAAACCCGAATTGCACTTCCCTTAACTTGGCCTCCATCTCCTTCTCCAGCCTCGCATTTAAGATACTTGCATATATCTTGTACGCCGTATTCATTAAAGTAACTCCTCGGTAATTTTTTGGGTCGTTTCTCTCTCCTTTTTTATATATTGGACTAATCATGCCTTTATTCCAATCTCCCGGTATACCCTCTCCTTTCCATATTCTGTTAATTAGCTTCAGGAACTCTTCACCTACATCTTTTTGCATATATCTCCACGCCTCGTTCTCAATCCCGTTCTTTCCTGTTGCCTTTCCCATCTTCAGTTTCTTTATTACTTCAATCGCCTCTTCCCTCGATATTTCTTCGGCTCCCTCTGTTACCTCCCCTCTCGTGCCATCTTTTTCCTCCTCTTCAATGTCTAACACCACTCTTTCCTTTGTCCCTTCTAACATTTCCATGAAGTGGTCTCTCCACTCATCCATTTGTATCTCCTCGCTTATCCCCTCAGTTTTCTTTTTCCTGTACTTATTTATATACTTCCACGCTTCCGCTTCATTTTTAATGTTCCTTAACTTTTCTTCTTCCTCCCTTTCGTGCCTCAACTTCTGCTCCTTACACCATTCCTTGTGCTCCTTTCTTTCCCTCACATATTCTTCTTTTCCGATCCTTCCCTTCTTCCAGTCCCTCATCAATCTCCTCAATCTCCTTTTCCTTTCCTTCCATTCTTTATTATACCATTCTTTTCTTTCTAATCTCCATGGTATTATCCTTTTCTTATGCTTCGTGATAGCGCTCTTTACTTTCTCTTTCATCTCCCTCCAGATGTCTTCTGTATCTATTTGTGTGCTCGACCATCCTTCACATTTCTCATGATATTCTTTCCTCCCTTCTTCTGTCCAGTCGCTTCTCTCTAATTCCATTTCTTTCTCCTTTCTCCCTGTCTCCAACACTCGTGGTCCTGTCAACTCCACCTCCAGCGGGACGTGATCCGATTCCGTTCTAACTCCTTCTTCAACCATATTAATTTCTTCTCCTGCTCTGTCATTCCCTAAGATATAGTCTATAACCGATGATCTCAATTCTCCTATATACGTCCATCCCCCTTCCCTTCCAAAACTCCCATTTAATATAACCCATCCTCTCTCTTCTATTTTATCTATTAATATACGTCCTTCTCTATTTATAACTTTATCTACCGACTTTCTGGTCTCACTTCTCTTTTCTTTCTCTTCCTCCTCATTTATCGGTCCTCCTCCGCTTCCCGTCCTCGCGTTGAAATCACCTCCTACTAGCAACCATTCTTCGTCCTCTTCTTGTATCCTCTCCCTTAGTGTTTCCATCGTATCCTCCATCTTTTGGCTGTACAGCGTGATTATTCACCATTTGTTTCCATTATACTCTAATCTGCTTTCTACCACTTTGTCGCTAATCTCCCTAACCTCTATAAGTTTCAAATTCTTGTTGACTGCTGTTATTATCCCTCCCTTTGCTCTTCCTTTCTTGTGCTCCCTTTTCGCTGGTACACAATTCCAAATGAATTTATCGGACAATTTATTTTTAATCTTCCTCCATTTGTCTTCTTCCATCCATGTTTCAACTAGTCCTATCACGTCAAAATTCTCCAAATAGTCCCATGTTTCCTCACATTTATTAGCCAGTCCCGCCACGTTCCAAAAGCATATCCTTAACCCTCTTTCTTTCTCCACCTTATTTTCTTCTTCTCCCTCCTCTCTCTCCCTCTCCCTATCCTCTCTATTCTCTACTCTTTCCGAAAAGCATCTCTACTTTCCAGCATTTCGGTTCTTTCATTCCATTTCCATTCGCAGTTGTCTATCCATATTCTTTGATATCCTACCGTTGCTTTCTTCCCCTTTTCTCTCTCTGCTTTTACCATACTCCATAGCTGTTTCTGTATCTGCCTCTCTGTTGCCGTCAGATCATCATCCATAAATATGTTTCTTGCCTTTCCTATCTCCCTCTTCTTTGTCATTATTTTTTTTTTATCTTCCCATCTATTGAATCTTACTAGCGTCATTTTGTATTCTCCTCGGCCAATTGCCTGCACTTCGTCCACTTCCACCTTCTTTTTAGTGACTTCTTCAAGAAATTTCTCCATCTTCTCTTTTCTTTCTCCTCCATTTTCTACTTTCATTCCTTTTATGATTATGTTGTTTTTTCTTCTTCTCCTTTCGGCTAATTCGGCGTTTCTTTCCATCTCCCTCATCATCTTCATTAGTTCCGTGCTCTCTACCTTTTCACCTCCCCTGTTCTCCACTTTCTCCTCCAGCTGTTTTATTCTATTTTATAAACTCGTTTTCTGCTTTTCCCAAAGCAGTTCTCTCTTTCTGTAATCCTCACACAGGTCGTGTATCTTTTTCATTAACTCTTCTTTATCCTTCTTTCTTTCTCTCTCTTGATCATCCATTTTCACTAAAATCTCTTTCAGCATTCTTTCCACATCCATATCTCCTTCTTTCTTTTCCTCTCTTTTAACCTTGTTTGGCGGCGATCTTATCACCCTTTTTTCTTTGCTGAAATTTTCCAAAATTTCCTTTTCCGCTTTTTCTGCTATTTCTTTTTCTTCTTCCCTTCCTCTTTTCCTTACGTATTCTGTAATTGATCCTTGGCTTTCTGTCCTATTCCTTATTTTTGACAGCTCCTCCGCCCTCGTGGGCCTGCCTCCCGTACTTTTTTCTATCGTCCTCTTTTTCTTCTCGCTTTTCTTAAGATTAATATCTATTTTCTTGTCCTCCTCCTTCTTCTCGTCCATCCGAATTCTTTTCTCGCTTCTTATCCCTTCGGCACCTCTTTCCTCCTGTCACTCTCTTCTTTATCGACCTGCTTTCGTGCTGCTCCGACTCCGGTTTCTCCGTGCCTGTTTCCGCCTCTACCCTTAACCTCCAAATTGTCGCAGCCGCACAGAATCCCCGAATTCGTCCGTAGTTCGACTCCCTCACTGCTGACTTATATCTGCAGTCAGTCCTGCATATTTGAGAATGCAAACTACCTGAAACAAAGTCGCCCCACGGCGAAGGAACGGCAGATGAGCTCGAAAAAAACACTGACCGTTTGACAGGCGTGCCTCTCTCTACTTACTCAATCCCGGAATTTGCATAGCGCATAAACATAAGCGTAAGAAATTGATTGGTTTACATGTATATGTGCAAAAGGAAA